TTGGAACAACTCAATGTCCATCAACAGGATGAATGGATAAACAAACTATAATACATACAATAGAAGACCAGTCAGCTCAAAAAGACGGAATGAACTACCGATCCTTGCACTAATACAGATGAGTTTTAAAGTAGCCAGTTGAGTGGAAAAAAAAAAGCCAGAGGCAAACAAGTACATCCTGCAGAATAACATTTATATAAAGTTCTAAGGCAAGCAAATGCAAAGTATGGTGACAGAGATCAGAACACTGGAAAGGAAATGGAGAATGAAGAGATTTGAAAGGCATACTAAGAGGAGATGGTTATACAGTTGTATACACTTATTAAAACTTAACACACTTAAAACCTTAAAGAGTTGCACAGGCATCTAGGAAGCCACAAGAATCTTATTTTCTGCTTCTGAACTCTTGGGGCAGAGGGAATATTATCAAAGAAAGAGTCTCACCAAGAATTAAGAAACTGTTAGATAACCATTCTTAAATACAGACTTCCTAAACCTGAAAATGAAACTTTTCACTTGGTCAATAATTTAGAGAAAATATATGGACACTTAAAAATAGCCACTAAAGCTAACAGATAATAAAATATTTATTTTATTTTTGTAAAATTAAAAATAGTAGACAAGCATATGTAGTTACAGTTCCAAAGCAGAGCAATAGAAATATATAAATTATTGCAGTTTTAAAAGGAAAGTATAACAGCCAAGTAATGTCAAATAAATTTTGAAACCAACTTGGTTTTCATCACGGCAGCTTCCTTTTCTTTTCTCAAATCTTAGACAATTTTGAATGTTCTGCTAAAGTTTAAAGCAAGATTAACACACACACACAAATTGTAAAAGTATGAATAGCATTTAACAGAAGTCACTACTGAACACTTTCTAAAATGCCTCTTTTGGAGGCAGCAGGATGGCAGTAAACATTCTATGTTTGAAAGAAGAAACACATTTACTAAAATTCTTTTTTTTTTGGTGCAGTTAAGGGAAGATCCAAATAACACTTTTTGAACAGAGGGTGGAGGGCAATACTCACTTGCATGATTTTTGTAATTTGTTAAGGTTAAAATTGTGGACTAATTCAACATCACTAAAATGCATTAGTAATCTGGATTCTTTTAAAATGAAAAAGAGTATGAAAAGTGTATGTTACAAACTAGGTGTTAAAGATATCTCAGTTTTAGAGACTTGCTATGATATGGTTCACAGCAAGGCGATCAAGTTGCTTAATAGGTTAGGCTACATTATTAATAAGGGCAGTTATGAAAGGATGAAGTGGATGAAAATCCTGAGACACTGGACAGAACCTTGTTATTCCAAGCACAGTATTAGAGCCCTTCTCCAAGATACATTTACTTGTGCCAGGGCTTCATTACCTTATTATTTGGTCAATGAACTCTCTTCCATTCCACCACAAATTTCCTCAAATAATTATTTCCACCAACCTAAACTTAAAAACGCAATTGAATACTGAAATCAATTATCTTTGTTTTACAGCCACATCTGAACAGAGACTTGAGTACTAAACATTTTTTATTAAGTACTTTAAAAGTACTCAAACATCTTACTTCAGCATAAAAATAACACTACAAGAACTTTACACTATGCCATTTGAAAGTTTTTATGTCACATAACCTAATTTTATGGTCACTAGACTGAACTGCTTACTGAGCTACACAAATAATTTACTCTTTAAAAGTTCCTACTGAAGTTTTCAGCATATACATTTTGTATTACATTTTACAACATTAATAACACTAGCAGATTTCTTCTAAAACAAAATAAAGCCAAAATTTGTAAACATTAACACACACATCTATCCCCAGAAATTAATTAAAAACACACACACACGCATACACACACAGCAAAAGCTGACTGAAAGGAACAGCGTAAACACCAAGGTAAAAAAATATATAAACAAAAAGAATGAGCTCTAACCATTTTCAGCGGTAAACGGTAAAATAAAAAACCCCAGAAATCTCAAGATGCCAACAATATATTTTGACTATATTTCTGAAATCACTTCCCAACATGAACTTATTTAAAAATAATCCTCAAATGTTTATAAAAATGGGCACTCTGTGGTGAAATGAACATATAATTTGAAAAACTAAAAACATTTCTTTGCTCCAACACTGTAAGAAGCTACATAATGGAGTGGGACACTGGCTGCCTGCATGCATCATCTACTGCTGGTCTGGTTTGAAAGTGCATGCCTTTCAAAAGACTAATTTGGACACTGAATACTAGGATCAAAGGATAATAATCGCAAAGTAAACACATTTTTAGCTTAATTAAAAGGCTGACAGCATTTTAAATCTTTAAAGAGAACAATCTTGTGTTGTCAAAATCACTTTCAACTTCAAACTAATTTTTTAAACTTAATTCAACTTGTCTAATTATGAAATCTAAAGTGAAAAAATATTAGTCTTATTTCACTCTTCTTAATCATATAAGCTATTAAATAGCTGATGGGCAATCTCTTTTTTGCCATTTTTGAAACTAAAAGTATAGGTGAGATTTTCTTCTAAACATCCTCAAAAAGTACTAACAACTCTGTTGAAAAATGGCCAAGGATGGTAACCAATATTTGGAGTATTTCATGTTCTCTGAAGGTAGAACTCAACTCTATCCCTTATCCTTACTTTAGCATATAGAATAACTGCATATTTGAGAAAACTAATATAGGAATATAAAATAAGTTTACCAAATATTTGGATAAACTGCTGTGCAAAATACTTCTGTCAAAAAATTTTTTAAACTAGAATATCCACCCAAATCAAGTACTAGTGTGAGTACCAGCACCACAGATATTTTTTAAGAGCACCGTGCCTTTGAAGAGCTTACGTATAAATATCTAAATGGAGTAAGTCAGTCTCCAAATAAGACCTTGGTACCTATATGATCCCATCTAATTGTGCCAAGCTCAGCAGTAAAGCTACATTATTTGCCAGAAATAAGCAAACACTTCCTTTGGATAACACTGTTGTATTCAGGATGGTACCATATGCCTACTGTTCTGGAAACAAGCTACTGCTTCTATCAAAGGCAACACATCCCCAGTTTTTATGACTGTCCCTAAGTGATCTAAATAGAAGCACAAATGTGTGCAAGCACACTGGCTGGTAACATCCTTAAGGAATTATGCCAAAAAAAGAGAGTAAAGTCAAATTTGAGCATCTGTCCATAACAATGAAGCACTGAGATACTTACTGGCATCAGGAAGCATCCTATTCAACTTACAATTTATAGGGATTTTTGATATTGCACACATTTAATTTAAAGCTTGTCAAAACTAAGGCAATGAATTCATTCCCTACTCCTTGGATTTTAAATTCATTTTGGATGACTCAAAGAATCGAGAGAAATGGAAAGCCCGTCTTTCAAAAGCTTCTTCCAAAAAGCAGTTATGTCATATTTCACAAAATCAGTAACCTATTTCACAAAAATCAGTAACATATCAATTAGTATCCTCAGGCAAATTTAACACATTTTATATTTTAGCATGACAAAAATCTGTTTTCTACTAGATAGAGGTGTTTCTTTGCTTGGTCAAATACTCTTTGTGTTCAAGACTAAAATCTGACCCAAGCCAGGGCAGCCTGCCAAATTTAAGGCAGAAGTTATTCATGTCTTTAAGTACGAAACTGCCCAGTTAATGGGCTTTTCTGTTGATGCTTTCATGCAAAGGATCCTGTCTCATAAATACATTCTAAGTACCAGTAGAAAACAGAATTTAGAGCCCATTTTAAATCTGCGTTGGTTATAGCATTCACTATACTATATGGCTTGAAAACTTATCTGTTTGAGACAACCTATTTGTTCAGAACTCTTGGAAACATGAGAAGCAACTAACAAGAATATCTTCTTAAAAAGGAGCTTATTTTTTTGAATTAGAATTTTACTTTTCTGTCACAAGCAATCTTTTTTCCTTTTGATTCTAAAATTTAGGAAATGCTTTCTTTGGGCATGACTTTCAATGATGTTAACAGAATTTGGACAGTTGAATTCTTGAACTTTTATCTAGCACACAAAATAATTTTTTTCAAAGACAGGACACCAGTTTCATGGCATATTAAATTTGAAGATAGATAATATATTTGACTTGGAAGTGAGGCCTGACTTAAACTCTTGTCCAAATTCTAACACATCAAAGTCATTATTGAAAGTAATACTGACTAAAATAGGCTCTTACTTCTACAGAGAAAAGCTGACATACAAAAACTAGATTAGTATTTTCTTCCTGAACTCATAATTGCTTTTGTTATTAAAAAATAATGTCTTTTATTTTCCCGTATACTTGCTTTAAAAAGTTATTAACTCCTCTTCCATAAGAGTTATTAGAAGTCAAAACAGTTCAACTAGATAGATTTCTATTCCAAAATACATTTATCTTTGGAAAACAAGGTAATAGCTGTAAAAACATTATTAAGAGAATAAAATGCAGTGATGTGAAATATGAGTAACATACTCACACACGAAGTGTAACTATAATATACAGAGCCATTCAAATGCACATTTATAAAGAGGATGAAAAGTACCTAAAATAGCATTTATATATATAAAATTTTCATATTAAAATATTGCTCAATAAATAAGAGGTGATATTATGAATTCCATTTCCCTCTTGTTATCTTTAGTAATTTAGACTAATATAAGAACTTTATTAACCTTGTTGTTTTGACAGGTGAATTACATTAAAACATGTTTAATAAAATCACACTGTAACAGTATATTTAAGTAGTCACATGTGGTATAAATTAGGGAGGGCTGTTTAGTAATTATGGGAAAACAGATTCCCCAAATGAATCAAAATGATTAACCCTAGAAGACTAGAGTGTAATGAATGGTCTGCTTTATTTGGCAAAGATGTTGAATATTGCTTTCATCTTTGCAAATTTAATGACCATAAAATAATTGACCATAACTTTCTTCAACTTCTTCAAAGTGAACATGCCCAGCAGACCAAAAAATGGCAGAGCATGGGAAGGAAGTGTAAGCTGAGTTCAGTTGTTTATGGGCAGGTGTGACTTCAATCCCGTTCGGCCCATCTGCAGACATGGTAACTTGGAATAGTTCTTGAGAAGCTGTTCGATGGCAACGTGGCGGACATGGAGCTCTGAGGCTAAAGAATCCTTCTCTTGCACTTGGTGGGCTAACTCTTCAAAAACTTCTGTAAAGATTTAAAAAGTAATTCTATTTTTAATACACAGAAAGCTAATCTATGATTTATATTTCAAGTACTTAAGCTGAAATGAACATATTGGGCAAGTGTTTGTAATGAAAGTAGTTTGAAACCAAGGAAACAGCTGAGTTTGATCATCCTAGGAAGTTGTACACTTTGCATAGCCAACTGGAATATGGTGTCCTTCTCCATCAAATAAAACTTGCGAGTCCTAAGCAATGACCCAGATGCACAGCAGAGATGGCTGTTACAATCACCTCTGAGATCCTTTCCTCACACGGAATAAACAGGTTCAATGAATTTCTAATATGATTTATGGACAGTAGTGCCTGTTAGTACCCAGGTCTGGAACCTCCTCTAAGAGGCTTTGGAATCAGACTACCTGAATTTTTGTTCTGACTCTTATGTGTCTCAGGCAAGTAACTTAAAGTATGTTTTAATTTCCTCTTATGGAATAACCTTGATAATGAAAGTAAGCACCTCACAGGGTTACTGTGAGAATTAAATAAGATCATACTTGTCATACTTGATAAGTACTTGTCACAGGATAAGTACTTGACAAATGTTAAGTTGCTATTATTATTTTATTATCCTGAGAGGCTGTGTAGTCAAGAAAGACCACTACCTTTGGAGTTAAAAGGACAGGAATTAGAATCCTTAATCTGTTGCTTACTGAATGCAAGATCTCTGTAAGCAACTAAAGAAATTGTAAGCAACTTAAGGTTTCTGAAATGTGGTTTCCTTACCTAAATGGGAATTAATTGTAGGGGAAAAAGAAAAAAAGACAATTGGGGAAACTGAACACCGTTAACTGTATTAGCATCCTGCTTGAATGATATTAACACACTACTGTTCTTTTTTTTAAAAACATGAGGTTGTGATTGCCTAAAAAAGAACATTATCTTTTAGAAAAAATTCTACACTATTACATTTATGGACAACAAAACAAAATATTGTCTGGAATTTGTTCCAAAATAATCCATGCTGGAGGTGGGGGTAGGGGAAGGAAAATGGGTGCAAGTAGAGAAGAAGGAAAATTAGCCAGTTGAAATTGGGAAAGAGGGTTTCACTACATTATTCTGACTACTTTTGTGTTTGGAAGAGTTAATAATAATTAAAAAAAAAAAAAGAAAACAAAACGGGGCCAATACCACCTGCCTTAAAAATCTGCTAAGGAGCACACCTGTGCAGTGCCTCACACAATAGTAGGCAGTAAAGAAACATGTTAGTAAGAGATTACGTTGTAGTCTCTGTTTTCACCAGAAAAAGAAGAATCTACGTCACCAGCAGTTCACTGAGAAGACTAAGAAAAATGCTTTTTGCTCTGGAAAGTCTAAGAGGATCATTTCTAAATTTAAATGCAAATAATGATAATAAGGGATTTTCTGTAACAAAACTGGCACATGTAAAAAGTACTGACATGAGTCTTTACCCTGTATTTGTTGTTGGAGCTCTGCATTCAGTTGCTTTACCTCACCAAGAGTCATCGAATTCACTGAAACATGAAAATACATTCATTACTACCATGACAACCTGGGGAAGTAAGTTTTCTACACCATCAACACAACATCCTATTTAAAACAAAGTATCTGCATTTATTTCTGAACATGACATTTAACAGGACCCTAGGATTCACTCATTAACTCCTAAAGTGCTGGGCTTTCAAATTCTGCCCACAATCCACAACCAGTCTATTTCACAACCGGTCTCTCTCCACCTGAAATAAAACGTTCACTGAAAAATTCTTAGCACTAGGTCCAGTGGGTTCTGGTGTTTCTTATGCTGTTTCCATTTTTAAACGTGCTCATTACTAGCCACTGAGTTGACTTTGCTAAAGCGCTACATGCTTCATGATGTGTAGCTTGAAAAAGACTAACGTACTGCAGAAACAGTTTGAAAATCAATCTATCTAGCTGTATGTTGTTGTTAAGTCGCTAAGCTGTGTCTGACTCTTGGGACTCGATAGACTGCAAGCCACCAGGCTCTTCCGCCCGTGGACTTCTCAGCCAAGAACACCGGAGGCGGCGGCCATTTCCTACTCCAGGGGATCTTCCCGCCCCAGGAACTGAACCTTCGTCTCCTGAACTGGCAGGAGACTCTTCAGCGCTGGGCCACCGGGGGAGCACCGTCTACGTATACGACTGTAGATAACTCAGATGCAGAATCAAGGAGTTATACAAAAATAGACCCAAGGGCCCTTCTAGCCCTAAGATCACTTGATTCTAAGTTAATTAAAATCACGTTTGCTCCTGTGCGTTTCTGAAGAAACAGATGCAGACTGAATGAGTCAGTTTTTCCAGGTGCACACATTACCTTTAACCTTTGGGAACATGTCAGATTTCTGCTTTTGAAATACCAGCCCCAATTAGTCTTGTAGGATTAGCAACATGACCGTGTGTGTTTGTCAATGGTGGAGGCTCACTTCTAAACTATATGAACCCTGAACTTCCTAATTCCCAAACTGTTGATTCCATTCTATTAATAATTTAAAACGGCAAAACAAATGATGGGACTGTAGAATTCCAGTGGTTTTAGGGCGTACTAAGGAATATTCCAAAGAAATGATAGCATTTTTGCTAGGGTGAACCTGTCATTTAAATGCTAAATTAACCAAGTCTGTAATTCCACAGCAAAATTCTTGACACATCACATATGTGAAACATTAAAAAAATAAAAAAGAACCAACAAAACTCCAATCTTACCCCCTTCCCCTATACTTACACTCCTCTCTGCTGTAATGTGGATGCTGGGTCTGGACATGAGCCTCTGGACCAGAGATGGTCTTTTCCTTTTTCTGTTCCCGGCTGTGACTGTGAGGCCACAGTACACTACTGTGGCATAAAGTGGCACCCGAATCTTGTAACACAGCAAGCCCAAAGTCTGTGTTCTCCCTCTGTTCCAACATTCGTTGTGTACAGTTTGAGAGGCCACCTGCATTTCCTTCTATCCACTTTGCAGAATACTTTGGTACTTGAGAGTCAAACTGTGGGAGTAACTTTTTATCTGGCTTATGCCTGAAGTTAAACAGGTGATGCTGGGGGTTTTTAGAACACTCGGAGTCTGAATCCAGATCCTTATTTTGTGCATATTGTACAATCCAATTTATCTTCTTGCTCAAAATGGTTTTAACTTCTTCATAAGTACTTTTTGAAAGCTTAGATCGAGGACAATCCTGGTTTGCAATCAAATGATATTTTTCAAAGCAGTCTTTATGGCCCCTTAACGACTTGGTGTGCAAGAGATCAGATTTTGGTATTCCTAAAAGAAAAAAAGTAAGACGTGACACAATTTTGTTTTTTTATAAGCTGCATTAAAAAATATAAATCTTAGTAAAATACCGAGTCACCAATTAATTTACAAAGTAGTGGAAAAATGCTAAAGAATATTAGTATTAGTAATATACATATATATTACAATAATGATACAGCCTAATAATTTATTCTTCAGTTTAACAATATATTCAATAAATTCTGAATAGCAGAAATATTAAATTCTTATGAATAGCAAAGCCTTTCTTAAGGACTTAATGATTCAATTTCAACATCAGTCCAGGGGCATGTTATTGCACAATATTAAAAAATACCACCAAACCAGCAATTTTTATTTACAGAACGTTGACCTGTACATTATAAAGCTTTCTTCACTAGCTCTCTTGAAGTTATACATTTGTAAAACTTTTGTTATAGGTTTAATAAGAGAAATGCTTCACAATTTTTTCCCTAACAAAAAAACACAGTAAATCATGATTTTAAATTAATAGTTATACTTTTACTGGGGAAAGATAAACCAGAATCAGAAAAATATACATTAATAAAAGCCTCAAAAAGTCAATGAACTGTTTATAGATTTTTTCAAGTTAAGAAAATAAAAACATCTAAAATGTTTTCACACGTTTAATACTTACTAAAACTTTATAATTTTATCTCTAGAAGAAATGCACTACACACAATTCTTATTCACAGAGCAACAAATTCAATCTACCAAGACACGATATAATTCTTCAACTCACAAATGTTCATTACATACCACAAATCATGGAAAATACTACACATTTACATTTCCAACTTTTTAGTAGAGCTCAAGTATGCTATCTCTATTGTTTTTTAAAAGAGAATAGATTTTCAAATATACAACATACTTTGAAATACAGAATACATTGATACATTTTTGTAAGTTCAAATCATTTAAAATAAAACAGCAGTGCTTTTATGTTGAAGGTGAACATGGGATGTGGAATGGAAAATTAATGCCTGCAAGAATTAAGCAGTCTAAAAAAAAAAAAAAAAAGAATTAAGCAGTCTAAATTGCTTAGCTTTGAAAACAGGAAGTTGAGAACCACTCAGGTGTTAACTTAAAAAGTTTTAACTGACTCATCAGAAAAAATTACATTCTGTATCCATCCCTTGTTTTAAAAGCTGAAGTTGTAATAATTTTATTCACTGACTTGCTGGCTAATACTAAAATAGTGGTGCATCTGTATTTTAACAGTATTAAATCAGGTGCAAAATACTTACAAATACTAACTTGTTCTAAAACAACATCACATCAGCCAATGATGAGTCCCGCCCAAACCAGTACTAACTGGGCCGTCAGTTCCCTCACAAGTAAGCTACGGGGGCACCCCTCTTAAATATTAACCGTCTAACTAAGCAGACGTGCCTCACCAGGTAAACTCAACCATCTCAGTCGTGTTTCTTCCACTGAGTGCAAAAATGAAACTTAAAACAATTGCATACACATTTTATTTACTCCTTTGGTGCCTGTGCTGTATTTGTGTGTGTATATACTTTTTACCAGTTATTGTCTGGTTAGGTCAAATTTCCTGCAAAATTAAAATATTCAAGCACAAAACTTCAAAGCTCTATTTGACAACACTGTGTATGCCTTCGAAACCTGGTAAATTAACATAAGGAAGTGCACAAATCTTGATTAGAATAAACATATTAAAAGTACTTTATAATATTATGTATATTTTAATATCATAAGACAAAAAGGCAGTAAGTATCAATTATAGATAAAATAAGAAACACCTCCATTCTGCTGTCTGATTCTAATACTGATTGCTAGGCAGAGAGAAGCTGAAGCTCGCTTATTTTAGTAACTTTGGAAAATTCATTAAAGAGCTTTCTTACTCTCAGGGCTCGGTGCCAACAGGTAGCTGGCCAATCCCGGAAACCGTAAATGGTCTCATTCTCACTCAGTCCGTTGCCGCAGCACTAATCTGTGTAGCAATGGTTTAGCTGAATCTAAACGTTGTAAATTGCATTTCTCCTTTACTATACATGAGAGGAGATCCTCTGTGTATAAGAAGGATTCTAAGCTAGGCTATGTGCATTTGTGCTAAGTTGCTTCAGTCGTGTCTGCCTCTTTGTGGCCTCAAGCACCACAGCCCGTCAGGCTCCTCTGTGCATGGGATTCTTCAGGCAAGAATACTGGAGTGGGTGGCCACGCTCTCCTCCTGGGGATCTTCCCAACCCAGGGATCAAACCCGCATCTCTTATGTCTCCTGCACTGGCAGGTGGGTTCTTTACCACTGGTGCCACCTGGGAAGCCAAAAGCAAGTCATTTTTCTTTGCTGCTAGTTTTTTGGGGGTTTTAAAAAATTTATTTGGAATGTTCAGAAGTTGTATTAAAAAAAGACAAAAATATGAAATGACAACTTTCCCAATGTGCCCCAGAGCTTTAATAACAAGTCAATATAATAAATGTTTATTTGAAGAATAATGTGGGCTTTTAAAGTTAATGATTTTTTAAATCCAATCTTTCTTCTTAGTAATTTATGTAATATAACTTTTTGTTCTTCAGAAATAATTTTTTAATTTTTACTTAAAATCCCCACCCAAATGAACGTTTGGAGCCCGGTAAACACACAATTATATGCATACTGGTAATCACCTGAGATGAAAAGCAAATCAGAGAACAACAATATTCAATTTATTGTGAAAATATGTAAATATAAAGTAAATTTCAGATTCAGACACTCAAGTGAAAAATCCCCTATAAAAGACAAAAAAATGTCATGACAGGAAGAGTTCTGAATGTGGGAATATTTCTAGTTAGACGTCCCATGTGCTTATTTGCTCAGTCATGTCCGACTCTGATCCCACGGACTGGAGCCCGCCAGGCTCCTCTGTCCATGGTATCCTCCAGGCAAGAATACTGGAGGGGTTGCCATGCCCCTAGAGGTCCCATTTGCTCCTCACATTCCCCCCGCCTCTTCCTCCATCCTTACACCCACACCCACTCCTCCTCCTGAGTCTGGCACACCCCACTGCTCAGGGAAGAAATCTGGGTGTCCTCTGTGACAGTTCCTCCTTGCGCTGCATCCCAGATGTTTTACTGTCCACCTTCACAGACTTCTTCCCGCTAAAACCTAGCACACTAAATCTTCCTTCACGCCATTACCACTCCCCCTCCATCATCTGGGTCTTCATACCAGCCCCTCTCTAGTTCCTCCTTCCTCTGAGAAGCCTTTTCTAACCAGTTACATCTGAGCTAATGGCACGAGATTTTAAAATTGCTTCTTCACTGGCCTTTATCTCCTGCTAGAGGTAAATTCTGTAAGAAAGAGCACCATCTGTTTTATATACATCCTTATTATCATAGTGCCTGGCACATAGTGAATACTCAAGAAAAAGTCATTACATGAATAAAGGAAAATTAAAATTGCATTTAAAAAGCCCACTTAAAACTTATTACCAATTATTATTTGAGGTCTACTGCAATGAAGTTTTGCCCATCTGCAAGGTAACGAGGCTGTGCAGCTCTGCAGGCTCTCAGAAGTTAACTGCGCTTCCCAGCTGGCACAGTAGTAAAGAATTCGCCTGCCAATGCAGGAGACCCAAGTTCAATTCCTGGATTGGGAAGATCCCCTGGAGGAGGAAATGGCCACCCCCTCCAGTATTCTTGCCTGGGAAATCCCATGGACAGATAAGCCTGGTGGGTTATAGTCCATGGGGGTTACAAAGAGTTGGATGTGACTGAGCAAACACAAACACACACAGAACTTAATTAAAGGCATCTTCCAGTGAAGTTACTCCTGTTTGGTTTAATATGACATTAATCCCAAGAACTGATGAATGGCACTAATATATAGAGATGCATTCCAGTGGCATCATTCAATCTGCCAAATAAAATCAGGAACTTCTACTCAATTACTCATTTTTTATTAGAAATATACATACTGTGAATATACAAGGCTGTTTTATGTAAACTGTAGCTCACTCATCCAGATCTGTACCTATAGCTTCTTTAGCTCACTAAAAATTGAAAACCTGAATCAGTTTTAAAGTTTAATTTGAAAATACTTGTTTTGTAAACATAGTTTAAAATACCCAATTAACAAAATTTAATATACTGACACTTCATATACCTTTTTACTAGAAAAGAATGTGAGTAGCCCACTCAATTTGTATCAACAATATATGTCATTTTATAAATTCCTGAAATGATTTTGTTTTTTTCACTTCATCAGTTTGAATTAATATAAGAGAAACAACCACTGCTATTATCAGAGATCCCAGTGAGTTTTCCAATTGACTTTATAAATTTTAATTGCATTTACAAGTGCTAACAGCTCTGAGCACTAATTTGTTTCTTCAGCAGCTTTTGAAAGGGAATGAATCTAAATGCAATTAAATGAGTTGGTACTTTTCAGAAACTGAGTTAGAAGTAATTTCCAAACCAGTTCCACAAAAACTGTACTACAACTTCCTAATAAAACTTGAGGACCAATATAATTGACATCCTAAGTATTAGGAAAACTTTAAAACTTATCCCATAGATGGCTATGTAACTTTGGGTCTTGAGTTCCTGATCAGTAGAGAACCAGGACCTTACTTGGCAACCATAATTGCTAATATTTTGGAAATTTATTTAGGTGGACATTTCTGTATGAACAGTGGTATTTTTAAAAATTAAGCTGTTTCTATTCAATAGTTTTCTTTACAACGTTTTTCCCCATTTTCATTTCTGATTTTGTTATACCATTCTCACATACTTTGAAAACCCTCCCACTAACCCATCTGCTATGCTATCCCCATTTCTATTCTTTAAATTCCTTTCTAGGATCAATTCAAGAAAACTTGGTTAAAGCCATAAAAGGGCAAAAGCCGCTCAAATCTAGATCTTCTCGTTTGCCTATCATTGTCATCCTTTTAAAATAAAGATGTTTCCATGCATGTATTTAATATGTTAATTGTATAACAGTTTGTCCTCTCACAAGATGATACTCCAAATGGCACTAAATAACAGCCACA